GGAACTTACTGCGTCACTGCCTCGAAATGCTCTCAAAATTTTTTTGCTGAGCTTTTCCCGTTCTGTTATTATCGGCGTCTATTACTGGAGAAATTCCGAAGTGTACACAGCCACATTCACTCTGCGCAATTTCTCTCTGCCTGCTCAGTATCCCCTTCGAAGATGAGTTTAGGGAAGAAATGAATAAATGATCGTTGCTCACAAATCTCGAGTTCTCCAATATCTCTCAAGGCGAGTCATACCACTAGAGCCGACTTAGTTTCACATACACTGCATAGAAAATGAAAGCCACTGCAGTGTGATTCTATCGTTCATTATCAAATTACCCTTGAGAATCTCTTTCTCAGCTGAATCTTTTTCTGTGCACACAAATATCTACCAGTCTATACTGTGAAAGGCTTTTGTTGGGGAGCTAAAGTGCCTTTGAACAGCATAGTCTGACGGGAAGGTTCTTGTAAAACGTGCCCTATTGTTACTCAACAAATGTCAAAAATTTATACCATATAGTGAAGAAGCCCATATAAATCAAAAAAGCTTGAAGACAACAAAACTATGCAATAACAAAAGCCTCAGTGAAGTTCACAGCGAGGATAGCACGACCAAACGTCTAGCTCTTTCATGAATTCATCAGCTATTTTAGGATAATTCCTTCTGCGCATTGTTTCGAACGCTTGCAAGTCTTCTCTGAATCAAAAGCTTGTTTACAAACAATTTTGTAGAAGTAGCGCAATTGGAAAATTGTTGTTATTAATTAGAGGCTCTATTGAAAACCGTACCAAAGTATTACCTGATGACTGTACAGTTCAGGCTTTTATTGGGCAGCCATTTCCATGTGGATCCTTTCAATGCGCAACTGTCTGAGTCTTTGATGTCGTTAGGACTCATCCACAGATCACCTTGTATACTCTTCTCTTGCCAGTTTTGTAGAATAAAGTCACTCTCGCACCAACTGGAAGTAAATTGATGGTTACCGGTCAGATGGTCAGATTATTGGAGTGAACAACGATTTGCTGTGTACTTCTCAAGCGAGAGGGGTGTACTAGGCTACATCGGTTGAGACCGGGAGACATTGGTAGAGCTGATAGACGAAGCCTATGATCGACAGGAGAAAGCTGATACAGGTGATACAATGATTTGGCAATCTAGTCAGAGCTATAGTTCCCCACATGGGTGCCATATCACTTGAGCACATAACGATTTCGATTCGGGAGCCTTTACTAATTCTATCGAAGGAATGGTCAGTGTGCTGTATAAAGACTGAGTCCACTGGCTAAGACTCATTTGCAAAATCACGGTATGCAGAAACTGGCCCACCGTATTACTACTGTATGCCATGCTTTACCCGGAAAAGACTTCCTGACCGAGGAACACCTTACCTAAGCAATAATAAAAACTCACAAGTTACTTGTCAGAGCCGAATCTCTGACCCAGCCATGCCCTTTCCTGTAGATGCGCACTTTTCCTGGCCACAGGCGTTGGTATCCGAGAACTAGTCGTCCGCATGCTGTCGAGGCATGGTGGTTGAACTTGGTACCCCATTCAGCCATACATTGCTCGTATTCCATGTCACCATCGTCAACCAGAGTATGCGCTAAGAAGGCCTCAAGTGTCGCATAATCAGTCATGGTTGAGTTCAATATTTTGGAACTAAGGTAATAATGGTGTGATGTTGAGCAAGGCTGATTTTATTGCAACTGTCACTTCGTTCAGTCCCACCTTCCCCCTATCCAACCGACCTGCCTTCCTTAGGTGATCAGTTATTTGGTATCAAACTCGTCTGGGAGGGTGAAAGCAATGACTTCCACAGCATTATTGTATAGGCTGCATACGTACGTGTTCAGAGAGCCCCTACGATTCTGAATGGAAGTCGAATGCAGAGGAATTACTAGAAAATCGGAATCACTGAACGTCAAAGACTTCATACTCGAAATAGTTCCGTAGTAGCTCACCAATAGAACCCCTCTGTCATACTTGTTCTGGCTTAGAGCTTGATTAAACTCCATCCCAGCCAGTTCTTGTAGGATTTTCATGGACCAACTACTTCGACGTACCTGAAGCTATGACAAATGATGAGGGAAACCGTTTGTTTTGATTCAATCGAAGGAGAACATTGTTACAAGTTGCTCAAACCGAGCGCTTGACTCACCAAATAGTTTTCATCAGAAATCTCCCAGTTATTGAAATTTTCGACAAAGATCAAGTTCACCCGTTCGTCGATCCATTCTTCAATGCAGTGGTTCGGATTTGCTACCGCTTAAAGAGATTTCTAGCAGGTTTTGCTGTGAAATTTCCATTCTCCTAAGTCAATTCAATGGATTTAGCTTATTTATAAGATTCAGTTTGTAAATGCAAGTGCCCTTTGAAATACCTGCGTTGTCATCTACTACGAGCATCCAGTCGGTATATTTGAGGAAATAAGCTGCTGCGCAGTACTTTTTGAACCTCACCTTAAATTCATGCTGAATAAAATAACAACAAAAACATGATTTTGAGGGTCGAGTCCGAAAAAGGCTCGACCCTCAAAATTGCTAGAACAGGCCATCAACACTGGACAACAATGCGCATTGCTCAAGCTCTAGCGCAGGACTCTTTATTCCTAATCCAAATCTCCGGCCGCTGGATCTACAGAGCCCTGGAAGCCCACGGGAAGGCAAGAGCGCTTTCCTGACCCTGCAACGTTGTAAGCAACAAATTCTACAACGACCGAAAATGGAGATCTTTTGTACTATTGGGATCGCAGCGAGGTGTTCAGGAAGCTGGTCTGGCCACCTTTACTGTTCGTAGTTGTCCATAGGTTCCATTTAGGTGGGCGTGAAAGACAATACAAAAGGTTATGTATGCCGAGAAATCTTTGAACGTGGAAGATGTGGGACTCAAAGTCCAGCTTTTGTTTGAACTTGGACGTTCATGGTAGGAGGAGAATGTATAAACCAACCACTTTATGCTTCGAACAAGCAGCACTGATTTCCTCATTGATGTCGATATCTACTTGGATCAGTTCGTAATCGGATAATGACGCATAACATGCCAATGTTCGTCCATTCGTTCCTGTAGGTCTATAAATCCAAGCAGTGGTCCTTTGTTCCAAACCTGATCTTTTCGTCTTTTTCCAATTCACAAAAATTGGAAACCTACAAAGTTTCCGCTGTGTACATGACAAGTATAATCACACGACCATATGCTTTCCTACATTGACCCATAGATACCCGTTTTGGATAGTTGAGACTTTGACGAGCGCCTGTTCCTTCGTGTTCCTTTTTTCTGGAATGCCATCCAATTGATTGAATTAGCTTTGTGGTCGGTAACGTGCCGCCTGCCTGCTGCTGATACTGCTTGATACTGCACTCCATTGTTTTGGGCATTCAAACTTTCTAACCTTTTCGGTTTGAAAACTTTTCCGGCTGCCTGATTAAGTTCACTATAAGGCAGTGGATACGTGAGCATTAGCACGGAAACGAATGAGAACAGCATGACCAGCGCCATGTAAATCAGATATGTTTTCTTCGAGGACATTTACGTGGAGTAGAGTCCGCAGGTGCCCTGAAAGGGAACATTCCTTGTCGTGTAGGGACAGAAAAAGTAATGCCCAACCTGTGCCAGATAAGTAATGGGTGAGAATGAACGTCAAACGGAAGTTTCCCGTGAGACGAATGAAAGCGTGGAATGCCAGCGAGCATTACGTGGAACTAGATTGCTTAATGTACTAACCGGCTACAATATGTTTCCACTTGTCGTAGTCAGCTGTCACCGGTTGCTCAGCGAGCAGTAGATTACCAGTTTTCCTTGCTGGAACTGCCATAGTTAGAGAATCTAAGATTTTATTCTGTACGGACTCTTTGAGCACATAGAGGAGATAAGAGAAAACGGTAACAGCAACAGCTCAGCAGTTTAGCTCTTCCTTCAAAACAAAGAAGTCACAGAGACAGAAAATGTATTTATCTCGGCTCTCTTAAGTCCAAGAAATTACCCGGAAACGCACATTGTTTGAAGTTTCATGTTCAGAAAAACGTATATCGTGAGAAAGAAAACAAGCAAAAGGGTAAACCAACAAGATTTTCAACTGATTGAAAGCAACCTAAAGCACCATCAACAACCTCGCATTATCAGACGGTTTCACAATGAGGATAGCAACTACTGACATTGAATATATCCAAAAATGGGACCACTCTAGCTTGATTTGGAAAAATTTCCCGGTAACGCTGTTCCGATAGTTTCAATAGGCTCCTGAAAGTATAGGATTAGAAAAGGGCGGAGAATTTACCCTACAGCTCAATATTTCTCTCGGGTATTATAGTTTTCCTGCAGAAGGGAAGTTGTTTTTATATTTTAAACTCGCTCAGCAAATTAATTTGGTTTTTCGAAGAGAAGCGGGGGTCACTACCGTGGATGTTTGGGCCGAATGCGCTCTCAATCACCACGAAAAAAGTAGAATCAAAGGCCGAATGCTAGGGGTACTACTGAATGGAATCGGTAAACCAACTAGACAATAGACACTTGTTTCTACGCTCTAATGATACAGTACCAATCTATCAACTTTTACAGTATGCTCACCGTAACTCCTCGACCGTTCTTCTTTTTGAATTCTTCCAGTGCCACCCTTGTAAACCACTTCCACATTCTGCTGGATCAGGTATTTTGCTGAACGGATGTTCTTTCTGTTCCTTGTTTGCTTTCCAACCGTGGAACATGAAATCCTTCGGAGCCCAACTGGTCAAAAGACAATATTGAGACGATTA